TACCGAGAATTCGGACGGTTCGCTGGGGAGACCGAAGGTGACGGACTGCGGCGCTTGCTTGCACGCTTGCTCACAGCCGCGTCATCAGTTGAGCCGATCGCCTCCGAGGCCACCTTAGTATTCTCCTGGAGTGAGGAGCCTTTGCCGTGAGGCTTAGCGCTCTTGGCTTGCGCCTTTCCCTCAGCAGCCTTGGAGCGTGTCTTTGCACCGCTCTTCGAAGTGCCACGGAGCATGATAACGGTCACTGTGAAGACCAAGAAGAAGAGCGCTCAACCGCTGCTCGAGGCCCTAGCTGTGAAGTGAGCCTCTGTCGCGTTTCCGCAGCCAATCCGGTGTATTTCGACTTTGAGAATGAGAGTTTGTGACGTACACCTCTTCATTCTGATTGGTCGTCTAGCCGAACCTAAGTGGAAGAGGATACCACGGGGCACGTAGCCATTGTAAGCTACTTGAAGTGTGACACGTCACCCTTCGGGATATCTGATACATGGTACCAGGGTCGTCCGAGGCCAATGATGACATTGCTATTCTATAGGTGACTTATAGTTTGTATATTTAACTCAAGCTTAGCATACCGATAAATATATTCAGTTTACAACTTACCTTAAGTTGGTCACTTCGCATCCCTAGGCAAAGGAGACCTGTGAACTGCCGCTCACTGAGAGTTGTGTATTCTCGGAAGCCAACTTCCTCTAGCGCAAGGAGCTGTGTGACCCCGTCACCCCAATGATTATTATAAGTCTACACAACAGTGCTCGTACATTAAAAAGCTATAACAGATAGCTCAATTTGCACGTATGAGACGTCTGGGAGAACGAAACGCTATTTGATTCCTATAACTAAGCATATATGGCTGATAGTTGCTTTTCAAAGCGGCAAATTGCACCGATGACAGCGCGGCGCCCTGGCACTGCTCGCTGCTGAGGTCAATAGGCCAAGGAGGACGACGGCCGGAAGGCATCCACAAGCTACTGTGATAGCCAACTTGGCTATCACGGTAGTCTGTGGACGCGTACATGCATGATACTTAGCTAGTATGGTAGAAGGGATAAGGGTAGGTAAATCTGAGCCTGAAAGTCGCCACAGACGGTCATATAGGCTCTGCTGTGGGTAATTGCTGCCAGCGTTATAATAACCTAGTAATATTTGGTCTAGAAAACATAGATGGTTGCTGTCCGCACACAACACTATCAAATGCGTCGAGTGTGTCAAAGCACGTTTTGCTCCAATTTACTTCAAGCTACATGCAATTCTGGTTTGACACTGCAAATCGATCTTTGCGATTTTTGCCATACATGTACATTCAAACAGAGGGGAAAATAGCTTTTTTTTCAGATAGTGTCAGACAGAATGTCCGACGCGAACCAATCAGATGTGTAACGGGGTACAATCCAGTTAACGGTAAAACGTTTTAAAACCGGCCCTTAGCAAATATTTCCGACAATGTTCCGGAAATAAGCTTTGTAGAAGTGCCGGTTTTAGCCGACCTTTCATTATCAAAATACCAACCTACATATAATGCGACGGCTGCAGCCGAGCATCTTCAGTAAAACCTCCCTCGCGGAAGACACCGTTCAGCCTGCCCACGCGCTTCAATATGATCTAAAGATCATGATGACAGACACTGGTGGCGCAGTGTGCTCCGTTTGCTGTCAGCTCTGCAAATATTTAGCAGGAGAGCAGTCGCCAAACGGCAAGCGAAAACGATCGCTGAATCAAACGTTTTACAGAGCCCCGTACCTCAATACTACTACACACCAGCACACAGTGTAAATTGGGCAGAATATTAACCACTGAGCGATGCCCGGAAAGCAACCTACTTTTCCGGTCAGACTTTTCAAAACAACGTCCCCTTCCACTTCGAAGGGGACTCTATAGTCTTAAACGTTGAGATCCCTATAGCTATTGTCAATGACTTGTTCGGGGGAAATTGTTTCAGCGACGATGACGAGGAGTGTACAGACTACAAGCCAAAAGACCCACCCGATTCAATCTCGCTGTTAAACACTTGAGAGTTGGGTTGTCGTTCCGTCAAGCTGTTGTAGTTATGCAGCAACACTACTAAGTAACTGGGCATCATATACTACAAGGGAAGACCGACGCATTGGCAAGTATATACCGGAGATATCTCATGGCTATTTCTTTTCAGCGGATCGGTGATCTCATTTCAATTTCAAACATGTAGTCGTTTTCATTCACAAGTGATATCTCTACACACAGTGAGCATTCCTTCATGGACCAGCGTCTCCGTCTTGCGTTCGATGGTGTTATAGTGATTTTACACTTACCCGCTGACGCTAATTAGTCGTAGTTCGCAATTAGTCGTGGATTTGCACTTTAGTGACATCAAAAATTCCGGATATTCGACAAAAATGACCAATCTAAAGAAAAAGACCGGTTTTGAGCAGATCTCATCGAGCTCTTTGTTCCAGTATGCGCGGTTTAAAAATTAAACTAATAGTTTTTACAAAATGGACAGCTAAAATTATCCGTATAAAGGGCTTCGATCTGTACACCACAATTAGTCAGGGTACGACTAATTAGCGTGAACGGTGTAGTTGTTATTCCCGACTTCGAACGCCACACCACAGAAGTGCAGCTCAATCTCATTGCATCTACGCTTAATGTTCTTTACGACCGATGGAGAGAGAAGTTGATTGGAATCGCTTCTGGTGGTGAGAACACCATGACTGGCCGTCCTGGTGGGGTCGTCACCTTGCTGGGACAAGAGGCTACTCGTCCAGTACTTTGCGTCTGGTGTGCAGCGCATCAAATGGATCTTGTTGCGAAAGCAGCATTTGAAATTGTCAGTGGTGGGAATTTCGTTAAATTTACAAAAGACTTAATCGGCCATCTTCGCAGACAGAAATTGTTGATTGCAGCAATGGGATCGGTAGCATAATAACTAACGAGTAGATGGCATTACATGGGCAAGGTGTTGGACTGGGTCCTAAAGAATCACGTCGATCTGCATCCTTATTATGCGGATAGTCCTCCGCTTCACCCTCGGCCAGTTGATGGGCTAATGCTGCTGTAGTAAACGGCTTTACCTCAGTGATTAATGTGACTTCTACAAAATTTCAAGCCAAAGATTTGATTTTTCGCAGCAAATGAAGATGATCAAATTAAATGTGACTACACTGCGCAGTCTTTTGTGTATTCAATCACGTATCGATTCTTCAATCTCACACGGCGTAAATGACACAGACACGTTTTGCCTCAAGGAGCATGACCTTATTAATTATGTGCAAGACCAGGGAAGTTTTGTGAGAAACTACCTTGATTCGCTAGCGCAGCCTGAGCGGCAGTCGACACTGCAACGGCTTAGCGAATTTGTGATGTACGTTATTCAAAGGAATGGAGCTCGTACAAGCAGAGATAGATAGTAGCAACAAGCCAGCTCAGCAAGTTGTACCGCCCGTAATGCCATCACAACTGACTTCCGTCAACCCAAGGGATTTAAGAAAGGGCATTTTAAAACCTCGTCGTCCTCAGCTGGCAAAATTTCCGGCGCTTTCACAATTTGAAGCAGCAAAGCGCGAGTATCGTGAATTATTCCTTGCGAACATGGTTGATGATTCAACCAGGTCGGTACTTGATAAGGAAGACCACGAAACGATTATCAATTCTGGCTGGAAAGCCATTGAAGAGGCTGCTCACCCAAACAAGTTTTCGCATCTTTGTCAATTTTGCTGTGGTTTAGCAGCTTTATTTGCTAGCACGGCATTCATCGAGTCCGATTTTTCCGTGCTGAAGTGGAAAATGAGCGATCGTCGCACCGGCTTGACGTCACTGGCATTAGAGGGTGTATTCCAGGCAAAACAGTTCGACCAACTCAACAAACCACACAGCGCTATGTAGCTTAGGTAGCTGTATTACGGCAAAGTGCCGGTATTAAGAATCTGAGGGTGCCAGTATTAAGTTAATATAGCACAATCCGGCACATGCCGGTTTTAAAGCGGTCTGGTCTGGATACGATAGATGGATGCGGGATCATCGTACGTGAAGATTGGCGAATCTGAAGTGTAGCGGGCATAAGGAAAATTCATTACGTGAAGCAAAGTATGCAGCATTCGGTCAGTGTAGATCGGCGCCCGTCTCCTTGACCAAAGCCCAAAAACCTATGTGGCACTGCATGAGGCTAGCGATGAATGTCGATCTTTTTCTTCAGTAAAGATCAATTTAAAGAGTGACACAATGCTTGTATGCGTAAGTAGCACAATCCAGGTCCATAGGCTAGGTGACAATTTGATTCCAATGCCTGTATGAGACACTTGGCGAGATGCAAGAAAATCTTACATTAACTTAGCTACATATTCTGCTCGACAACGAGATTGGCTCAGCTAGCATGCATTATTTATCTATACCATATTAATGTTCTGTATCTGCCTCTTTTTGACGTTTTAGCTCCATACCAAAATTTATCGGACCCTCGGACCTGTACCTCAAAGCTGGTACAAATTGCAAAACATAACCACCGTACGAACATACGTTTTACTGACAACTGCGGTACTGCGTAGGGATAGGGGGATATCCCGAAATGGGGAGCGTCTGCAGAGAGACTTTTAACCATGTTAGATGGCGCAAAATATGGCTTAAAACCGCCTGTAGGCTAAAAAAACTTAAAAAAGAGCATTTGTGAGCTGGAGCCATGTGCTCTTGGTCTGGTAAATTCAACAGTGGGTCCCCAATGGCGAAGCCCTCTATTAAGAGCACCAACGACAGCCAGTTACAGATGTACGCACTCATTGGTCGATTTTCACCAATCCTATCCTGCAACATAAAAATGTTTAGACTCGCAGCCAACCTGTGGCTCACAGCATAGCAGAGTTTAAAACATACAAAACTGGTCCCGACAGCTAGACCTCTACGCTCACTCTTGTTTTTTTCGCCCAGCTACGCAGACCTCCAGCTCGACCGCTCAAGCTCCACAGCTCAGGCTGTCGGCCAATCAAGAATCACTCCACAGCCCTCCTCCCCCCCCCCTCTTCTCACCCAACGACGACGTAGCCTAGTGGAAGAGCGCAGGGCTATGCCGTGAGGACGCTGGTTCAAATCCGGTCGTCGCCATCTTTTTGATTGTGGGGTGGAGGCTCGTCACGGGCTAGTGGCTGAAGGCGTGGTGCTCTACCTGCTTAGGTACCTAGGTTAAGTAAGATGTGGTTATGCTGTGCATTATGGCAAACGCGTATGATGAATTTGCTAGCTATGCATTCCTGTTGCTAATCCTTAACTTCTAAAACGTTTTGGGTGCTGCGAGGAGCGGGGTCGCGAATGGCTGCAGACTGGAGGAGTTTTTGGTGGCGCTTGATTCTGTCGTTTAGGTCTCCTTTGCTGTGACGAGCTTGTAAGTGTTTAAGGACGGCGCTCGATCCACATGAGCTGATCTTTTTCTCGCCGTCCAGGAAGGCAAGTACGGATTTCTCTGCTTTCTTACCCACCTCAAGAACACAGTCACGATAGTCGTCAGCCTCTTGGACAAGAACGAAGCCGTCTTCAAGAAAATCATCATGAAGGCCACCAGCAACTTCGCTCTCGACCGCTTTTGTTTTGGCACCAGTGCGTACCAGCGTGGATTTTGAGCGTACCACCTAAACCAGGTAGCATGAAGATGAGCTGGAGATTTCCGGCGTTGTTTCTTGCTTAGCCTGTTAGCTGCGTATGTGCCTTCATCTGGACAGTTACGTTTTCTTGGTGTAGGTTCGCTGTTTTGCTTAGCTTCAAGTGGATCAATGCGAGCGTCCTGTCGCTTGATGTGCTCCATAATGTGCTTAATCACAGCCGCTTGGTGGTCGATGGTCTTCTGGTTTTCGCTTGGTTCTCTTGGCTGTTCATCTTCGTTGTGGGTGGGTGCAATACTTGTCTTGATGTCTTCACAGGTACCGTATTCCTTATGTGATTGGCGACGCTCGGTCATTAGCGACAAATCCAGCAGCCAATCAAATTGATTTAAATTTCGAGTCGTCGCGCTTTATGTGCTTAGCGACAAATATTTTTTTTCACACGTTACACGGTTTTTACTATGCAGGTATCTTCTATTGTGGCGGATAGGCTGGATCACACTCAAGAATATGACTGTCTCCAATCACATAAGGAATACGGTAGTGGATGGAGTTCCCAGGTGCGAGAACCATGCAAGCAGCTCGGCTGATAAGCATTCAGCGTGAGAACCAGCTGCTTCGATGCGCTTGACAGCTGGACTTGTGGGGCTCAGGTCTTTGAGTAGCGGGAAGTGACAGAAGATGCGTGCGGTGAGGACATCCATTACTGTCTTGTTAATGTTAACGCTGTCGGTCTTGGGCTGAAAGCAAGCAGGACACGCTGCACCCGATCCATCGCTTCATGCGTCTGCGTGTCAAAGCCAGTCAAGTCTTGCCGCGGCACCGCGGTTCTGGGTTTGTATCCGCTGAGTACTTTCGCTAGCTCGTGGTCTTCTTTACTTGTATAAAAAATGTAATTGAACCTTTTGTCCGTCGTGTTTAGATTCCAGGGATCTCTGTCAAAGACCCAGCGTGCTGTCATCTCGTCGCAGCCGTTTGCGAGTGAAGCGCCTTCTCTTCGAAGCGAGTACGATGTCAAGGCGACATCCACACCAGCAGCAGGCGCCACACGGTCTAGCACCCGGTTAACGTGCGCGTATACTGTAGGGGTTGTAGCAATGCGCGGCGGGGCGGCTTGGATAATCAAGGCGAGCTTAATGGAGAGCAAGGGGCTCGTAGCCAATTCCGTGTCGGGAAAGAGCGACAGTCCTTGCTCCTCAGACGTCTTCAGACAAACCAAGCGGAGGATGACGACGTCGTCTGCGTCCACTGACATGTTTTTGTTTGCGGACCATGGCTAGGTCAGTCGATTGGTACAAAGCTCAGCACGACTGTTGCACATCGAGCCCAAGGGAATGGTCAAACAGAGCGCAAGAATCGAACTCTGGAAGGGTATCTTCGCAGCTTCGTTAGACCATTGCAGGACGATTGGGATGTCCATCTTGCTAACGCTGAGTTTGCAGTCAACTCAACTGTTAGCTCGAGCACGAAGCGTATACCTTTCGAAGAGGATCTTGGATATATTCCGTTGAACCTTCTTTAGCTTGAGCAACTCGAAAATATTCCAAAGAATCAAAGAGGATCCCACTTTCACGAACGTCAAGCCGCGATTTTACTTCGTTGTTGAGAAGCTCTATCAGAAGCACAGGAGAGGATGCGCGATATCTACGACCAGAATCAAACGGAACAAGTATTCGACGTTGGAGATCGAGTATATCTGAGTACAAAGCACCTCGATCCCAAACACACGGGACTCCCGAGCTCCACCAAATTTGGTCCAAAATGGATTGGTCCGTATACAGTCGTGAAGAAAATTCATGACCACGCGTACCATATCAACATTCAGGCTGGCAATCAACTTCATCCAGTCTTTAACACTGGTTTTCTCGAAACCGTACAAGAAGCCCACACGTCTCTCGCGGCCAAACGATGTTATCCTCGCGGATGGCACTGTACGCCAGCTTGTACGACGTCTGCTGGACAAGGGAACTCGAAAACGACGAAGCGAATTCCTTGTGGAGTGGGTGGGCGAAGAGAAGACTTCGTGGGTGCCCATCGAGAGCCTTGGTCAAGGACCTGACTTGATCGCGAGTTTTGAAAACCAGCGCCGTACCAAGCGCCGACATAGAGCACGGAATCATTAAAGGGGGCTCAAGGCCAACATGTACATGGTCTCGCTAATTGCAGCCGAGTTTCGCCTTCTTGTTAGTCTTCATCTTCTTCTTCGGCTTGCGTGAACGCTAGGAAGGCAACGCGACATGGTACAGCGCATATACCTTCGTGATCCAGGCCAGGGTGAACACCGGATCCAAGATAACCGGCGGATCATTTTCTTCATGATAGCCATCGTAAGCCATACCAAAATTTATCGGACCGGATGACCTTATCGGACCTGTACCAAAGGTATGGTACATAGTAATGAAAACCCTCAAAACAAATATATAAAATCTAATGTTTATATGTTGTGGGTCACAAAGGTAAAACTTATAGTCCTGCGTGTGGACGGATGGCGGCGGGTGCGGCGGCAGCAAAGGCGGCGGCGAGCGAGCGTGGAGACGGGTGCAAGGGTGGCGGTGACCAAGTGTGGTGACGGCGACGACAGTGGAAGGGTGGCGATGGACCAGCAGCGATGGCGGAAGCGAGTGGATGGCGATGAAGAGCTGGAAGAGCGACGCGGCGCTGTGACGATGATAAGATGGACGTGGTCGGCGCGTTGCTTGGCAGAGATGCGGTGTGAACGGAGCTCTGGTGCATCGTTGTGGAAGCTCACGGTTGGGACATAGGCACGTCAATGAGCGGGACGTGGAGAAGGATGCGACTACTAAAGGCAAGAAGGATGCGTGCGGAGCAGCGTGGCGTTGCTCCAGCCGGAAGTGCAGCATATAGGATGAGGATAAGGCAAGGCGGAGCGACAGGAGGTGCTTATGTGTACATGATAATACTGTGGTAATAACAAAATGTTCATGTACTGGTACCTGTACGAAGTCTGCACTGAAGTACAGCTCCGTAATACGTAGTATCTACTAGCGGTGGTACTGATACGCGGAGGCTGTTACATGTATTAATACACGTAGTACGTATTAAAATAATTACTTAATAAAATAACGCCGATCCGCCACTTTGCCGTCAACCCTCGCCGTAGAGCTGGTGTTGCCAGTGGTGACTTTACTACTTGCTACAAATTGCAGCTGATTAACCGTTTTTAGAAAGCGCTAATTTATTAATAGTCGCATGTACATGTATCGATATGGTTGCACCGGTCGGATAAAATGAAAATATGCGTGTGATACGCCGACATGCAGCACGGAATCATTAAAGGGGGCTCAAGGCCAACATGTACATGGCGTCGCTAATTGCAGCCGAGTTTCGCCTTCTTGTTAGTCTTCATCTTCTTCTTCGGCTTGCGTGAACGCTAGGAAGGCAACGCGACATGGTACAGCGCATATACCTTCGTGATCCAGGCCAGGGTGAAAACCGGATCCAAGATAACCGGCGGATCATTTTCTTCATGATAGCCATCGTAAGCCATACCAAAAAATATCGGACCCTCGGACCTGTAGGACCAGTACCAAGCGAGTGGTACATGATGGGATGGATACATTGGTGTGTAGTACTAAAGTGATTAGGGGAGATAGGTTGGGAAGGTGTGGATGCTTTGCAACCTGAAAAACGATGAAAAGGGCCCTGTTGATAGGCGCAGTCACAGGCTCTGAAACGGCCTGTAGGCTGAGAAAAACGAGAAAAACGAAAACGTGCAATTATTGACCGAGAGCCATGCGCTCTCGAGCCGGTAAATTTAACAATGAGCTAGCAGCGGGGTCCACTATTGAAAGCATTCGCTTTTCAGCCAGCCATTGATGCTTGCCGCTATTGGCTAATAATCCACCAATGAGATGCTGCCACATACAAGGTGGAAAGACACGTGGCCAGTGAATGGCCACAAGCTGAAGGGTCGTGCCGACAACAGCCTTCTTCGCTCATTCGGTCTCTTTCACTCCGTACCTGGTAAGTCTCCGCCCCCCCCCGTTCATCGGACCCAGAAGCTCTAGGGTTAGAGCGCAGGATCCGTCCTGGACACCGGTTCAACTCCGGCTGGGTTCATCGCTCCTTGCGTCTGCTGGGGGTGGAGGTTGTTCTGCACCCGTGCTGCGCCTGCTGCCCGCGCTGCTGCATCCTTTCTCGTGCCGCGCCTGTTGCCCACGCTGCTGACCCCGTGTTTGTGCCGCGCCTGCGGCTCATGCTGCTGCCCGCGCTCGTGCCCCCCTCCCCTGCTGCAGTGCGGTTTGTCCCTACTCTTTGTTCTGATAGTCTGACAAATAATACGTGTTGTTTTGCGTTGTTCAAAGGTTGACTAACGTTTATTGTTTGCTGTGCTAGTGATGCATCTAACCAACTAACTCAACGACGTCTTGTGTGTAGCCGGGTGCAGGATCTTGGATAGCTGCCGACTGGAGCAGACGCTGGTGGCGCTCTATTTGGCGGTTGAGTGCGCCAGCCTTGTGCAGGGCCTGAAGATGCTTGAGGACGGAACTGGACCCGCGCGACGCGATCTTATGCTGAGCCAGGAAGGAGAAATCTTCTCTCTCCGCGCGCAAACCGAGGGCAAGGACGTCGTCGCGGTAGCTGACAGCGCTTGAATCCAGCCCAAATCCGTCAGCCAAGAACAGCTTCATGTACGCAACCAGCATCTTCGCGTTCGAGCGCTGTCGCTTGAGCTTGCTCGCGTGCCATCGTGGCTCATGGGCATACCAAGCAAATCAAGTGGCGTGAAGGTGAGTTGCCCCACTCCTGCGCTGCTTCTTCTTTGGTGTGCTGACTTCTTGCTCTCCCTCTTTTTCACTTGGCTTGTTGCGATTAATGGTCAGGACAGGATCGTTGTTCAGCTTGGCCTCCAGAGCGTCCATCCGCTCGTCTTGCCGCTTCGACATGTCGATTAGGTGCTTAATCACAGAAGCTTGGTGATCGATGATCTTCTGCTCCTTCGTTTGCTGTCCTTGGTGGGTAGTGTCGTTCTCCGGAGTTTGATTGTTGTTACAGGGTTCGGCTGCTAGCGAGAGATGCGCAGACCAAGCAAGAAGATCCGCCAGCGTGCTTCCACCGCTTAGCACAGCACCTTCGACCCGCGTGACGACTGGACTGCTGTGACGTAGCTCCTTCAACAGCGGGAAGTATCGGAAGACGGCCGCAGTCAGGATGTCCACGACCTGCTTGTTGACGTTGAAGCTGGAGGTTGCGAGGTTGCTGCAGGACATGAACATCACGTCCTGTACGCGCTTGATCTGCTCAAGTGTCTGGCCGTCGAAGCTGCTGAGGTCCTGGAATTTCACCTTCGTCTTCGGTTCGTATCCTGCGAGGACTTTGGCTACCTTGTGATCCTCCTTGCTCGTGTTGAAGATGTAGTTGAAACCCTTGTTCGTTCTGCTCATGTTCCAGGAATCTCGGTCGAAGATCCAGCGGTCCGTCAATCCCTCAGAGCCGTTCGCGTGTTGAGCTCCCCCGCGGCGAAACGAGTGCGAGCTGAGTGGCTTCGTGACGCCAGCAGCTGGGGCCATCCGCTCCAAGACGCGGTTGACGTGCGAGTACACCGTCGGCGTCGACGGCGTTCCTTTGGTGGCTGGGACAGAGAGTGTCGATGGCGCGGCGAGGGCATTCAAGAGCTCGACGAGCGATACATCGTCGGAGATCGTGGCCGTTGTCAAGGTTTCTTGGCGGGAAAGGTTGCCGACCAAGTCATCCGAGGGCGCTCGCTGGACAATCAAGGCAAGAGCCAAGGTCAGCAACGGACACGTGAGGAACTCCTCGTCCGGGAAAAGCGAGAGCCCCTGCTCCTCGCTCGTCTTCACCCTGATCAGACGCAAGAAGAGTACGCCGCCGACGCTGACGTTCCGCTTCCGCAGCATCGACAAGTCCGACGCGCGGCCGAAGAGGTACCAAAGAAGACAAAGCAGAGCAGCTTCTTGGTAGTCAGTATCACAGGAAGTATTGGTATACAAATATACAAGCATTTGTTTTAAATCGGACTTCGTACATAAAGGTGCTTTGTTAACGAAACCACCACCCTCGCGCTTCAAACAGAAGCTGTCAAGCGTTTTTCCCATTTCAAGCAATCGGGTCTCTAAAGACGCACGATGCTGGGGAAACTGGTCAAGCAGCCAAAGCTTGGCTTGCCGATAGTACTGCATGGTAGTATTTCTAGCTAAAGGTTTGCCCTTCTTGCCTTTACTAAATGCAAGATGCATTCCAAACTAATCCATTACAGATACAAAACATCTTCCACTGACATCGCGCTCCTTACGTACTCCTCTGCAACGCCCTCTGCCTTCAGAAATTTCTTGAAGGCAGATAACGCTGTAGCCTTGGCCCTCAAATTGTTGCCAGGCTGGAGCTCGTCCAGGCCCATCGCTTCCGTCCGATGCTGTGCAAATATGGGAGTGGTACGTGTCTGACCTACTATTTGCATTGGCATATACATATTTTGAGCTGCGGTCGGACTCGATACGTCCGATTGAATGGCTTAGAGAACTCACCTAACCCTAGGAGAAAGTATTGGACAAAAATGTTGAGAGAAGCTTCGGCCATTGGTTGAAATGCGTAGAAATGATGTGATTGGCCATTTATAGGTGCCCAGAGGTCATACAAAAATTAAGTATGGTCCGATAGCTTATCATATTCATCCATAGCCGGATCACTTGGATCGCAGACGAGCACGGTGAAGCCAGCAGAACATCGAGTGACGTGGACGCGTCTACTGAAGCAGAAGATGGTGGCGTTGGCGGTGCCCATGGAGCGTCGAGCGGGAAGGAGCTCCGAGAGCTCGGCGAGAGTAATACTTTCAAGATCGAGATGCGCTGGCGCAGCGGGGGCCGACAAAGGCGGACTCAGGGACTCAGCTACCGCGAGGAGATCGGACACATGGCCGAAGTCAGGTTCCGCCGCCATTCTTCTTTGGAGGAGCGGCGGCACCGACGCCCTTTCAGAGGCAACCTGCTGGACCATGGCGATGACAGGAGAAAGTCTATCAGCAGGACCTGCCCCTCCCATGCAAGGCGTTGCTTCAGCCGAAGTCTCCGTCAAAACCATAGCACTTTAGCGCTAGTCCTAGGCATCCAAGCCAGAAAGCAACTTGTGGTTCACCCAAGCAATTTTCCCAAGTGACAGCTGGGATAGGCGGAGCTCGACTCTTCGGGGATGGGTGAGTGTATCAAGAATGTGAGTGGATAGTATTATAGCCAATAAGGTGTAGTTTAGAAATTACTGTGATCTAGCATGAGATAGTAAGATGCTATTAAACTGAACACAGCAGATGCAGGGCGGCTGTGGAAGCTTCTAGAAGCTTCCATCCACCTGAACTGTGGGGGCGGCACTTTCCCTTTTGCGCGCCCTCCCCGAAAGCTTCTTTCTGAATCACTATGATTAAAATACCGTATCAGCACCGATTAGGAGATTCTGTAAATATCCATTTCGCGTGATATCGCTAAAAATTGATACCACTGCGAAAAAAACTAATGGTTAGGATTCGAGGCTGTCAATGGGCCGTAGTATATAGCCCTTGAGAGGCGTTATGGACAAAGTTTTAAATACAGTGAGAAAGCTCTGATCACCAGCGTTCTTTTAAGGTAAAAATTGGCTGAATCCGTTAACTAAAGCAGGAGCTACATGGGCTGGAGTCAAATGTCGATTCTTAAGTGGGTCATAGTGGTATTCAAAATGCGGTCTGCTTGTCTCATGGACGTGCAGCTTGTTCGCAGCGCAAGCCGTCGGAAAGCTTCGCAGTCTGCACGCTTCTGGACCCGTATCGACCGAGCCCGATCGCTGATGAAACGGTTGAGGGCAAACACCCAAGAAGCTAAGCCGACGTACATTCTTTCCCTGCTGCGTCTCTAGTATTATTTACATAGCTGCAATATCTTATATATATTATTGAAAAACGGAAGACGCATCTCCATGCGCCAGCATATGCGTTAGGGATCGACTTACGCAGCAATAGCCTGCTACTTTGAGCTCCACGAGGTGATTAGGGGGGACGGCCAAATTTGTAAGCTTAATGCCGTCACCGTCCGTCAATAGCAGACTTAAAGCCTTGCTAGCATCACATTGAATGTATTCGTTCTTTGGCACCATTCGTAGCAAGATCGTATCACATAGGCGATCATTGGCACGGGCATCAGGTATATTTAACTTACGAAAAGACGAGCTTTTACTGATTTGTTGGAGGTGAATAATGAAATATCTTTCTGAGCCCGATTTGCGCAATTTTAGCTTTAAGATATGAAACTTAAATTTCCCAGCGTTAATAGTACGGTCGCAGAACTTAAGGCAAAGCATGTCTTGCCGTCGAGTCACACCTACCAGACGGACGAATTGCCGACTGCCAGCTATTATGTTGACAGCTTCTTGCGCCACATGAAGCCGAGATGATGCGCTGTACTACGACCAAGTGCCGTACCAACAGGCACTTGCTGAATCTGCTGCGTGCTCTACCTGCTCTACGCTCTCTGCGGTCTAGCACTACCCGTACTAGACTCCCGAGGACGACGCGCCAGAGGAAGAGGAAAATTGCCATCAACGTGGCAGTAGTTTTGCAACTATTACCGACACTACACGAATTGAACGTCGCATACGCCGAAATTACGCTAGCAGAGCTACTGGATGTGGCCGTACGATGCCTCCAAGCTCAACGTCGTCGAATGCTGCAGCACACTCGTGACCCAATTCTAGCTCATCTTTATCAAACGCAAGGCTATCTATCTGGCAGACAATAATTTGCTTTGTAATTTACATTTCAAGGTATTGTTGCCAAACATTTTGCTGGCTGTTTGACAAGGTGGCGACACCAAAGGTACCTGAGAGTTGACTCTTGATGATCCGAGTCAAACGCCACCACAGACTCTACCCCCAATGGTCTTGGATGGCTAATGCTCAATCGATCACAAGCATCACTTGCCAATTTCCCCCTTCGCAAGCAACTCGAGTCGACTTCGAAGCACAATGCCCAGTACCTTCGTCGACCAATTGAAGGCCCAACGAAAGGGTGCATTAAAATTTTCTTTCGTCCAAGGAGAGCAAGACGTCGATCCATCCTGAGATGGAGACGCACTGAGCGAGATCTACTCCCAAAGTTGCCGCAATGGAGCCGTCACAGTCTACTGATCGAGTCTCGTCGCTGCCGCTCCGTCGCCGAGATACGACCTCCACCTCAGTTGTCAACGTCGAAGTCGAACGATGATGCGCTGCATTTCTCCTTCTCCGGCGGTGGCTGGCTCATGGTTTACATGTACGGCGTGTGCAAGGCTTTGCGAGAGCAGAAGGTGGACGACAACGCCAAGTTCATCGGGACGTCTGCCGGCTGTCTGTCTATTGTATCGCTAGTGTTGAACTCGGACTTCGACAAGATCTGCGACTTTGTGGTCAACGACTATGTGCCTTCCGCACATGCGAGCTGGAAAGGTCCGTTTAAGATGCGCGACTACCTCATCGACGCCATCACACGTCACGGGAACGTCAGCGACATGGACAAACTTCAAGGCAAAGTTACAGTGGTGTACACGTCGTTGTCTGCATGGGTTACACGTCGTGTGTCACACTTTAAGAACCCGTTGCACTTGTTGCAGACGATGGTGGCGTCGTGTTGTGCCACTCCTTTAGTTGGGTTTCCCTTTATGCATGAAGGAGAATACGTAATCGACGGAGGCCTATTGGACAATCAACCTCTGTTTGCCGACGATATTTGCACGATTACCGTAACTCCAAACATCTTCGCGAACGCAGACATCCGTCCGTCACGGTATGTGCCTCCGTGGTGGTCCATGTACCCTCCGTCGCCTCGCGATATGCAGTGGCTGTTTGACCTTGGCTATGAGGACGGATTGTCTTGGTGCAAGCGTGAAGGTTTACCAGGATCGGAGAGCATTACAGTCCCGACTAAAGCTGCAGAGTACGACGGGGAGTGGAAGACGGTCATTGGACAAATGGTGGGTTACAAGTTGATTGAAGACGTTGTTCTGGCTGCTGCCGAGTTGCTTCTGTTGTCTGAGGACTCGATCACGTGCAACTTTGTTCGCCTCGAGATACTGTTATGGAAGCTTGTAGCTATACTTGCAGCTGTGTTGGACCGTATGACGGTCCTCTGGGCTGTGTTGGCTGTCAACGGGCTGTTGGTGTTGGTGCTGCTAGATCAACACTACACGATCGAGTTCATTCTCGTGCTTGGAGGCCACTTGACGTTGGCACTGGTGAAGGTCAAGAACGTTTGTATGCATGTCCACTCATGGGAGAAATGGCGTGTGTTGCAGGGAGCAGTCCTCGCGACGGAGAAGCAAGGTCGTTTCATCAAACACGGACTTACTCCAATGCAACACGAGTTGCTGACGGAGTCTATCGACTGGGAAGCTTGTTGGTGTAGGTGGATTAATGGAGTAAGACCAGGTACTAATATTTCTCAGAAGTAGGATACATAGCGTAAGGCGATTTGATTAACGTTGTTTGCCGTCTTCCTGGCCAAGTCATCACAACACGTTGACCGTCATGTGGCTCCAGTGCAGAAACTCTATGCATTACTTGAACTGATTGACCGTCATTTCGTTCGCTTGCAGTAAGAGACAGCAGCAATGCTCGTTGTAAGTACAGCAAAGAGCTGACAGCTCGACTTTGAGGCCCGTGTTTAAGGCTGGGCAGCTCGGGGGTGAACGACGAACGCCGCTCATTTGATCTTAAACCTTCATTCTGCGCTTCTACTGTATGGATACACTGCATCGCCCATCGACTTCATTAGTGCGTGTGCTCGGAATCCGAGTCGGATGGTCGTCACGTTGGTCCACCGTTTGAGGCGATCCACAAGAATGTACCGCGGAAGTTATTACCTGAGAAAACGGTTGACTTCAGATACACTGAAGCTCTATCTAGCTTTCTGTAAGTAGGAGTCAAATAATATCAAAACTGCCATTTTAAATAACATGGTGATTCAAATTCTTTCGCGATTTGCATCGACCGCTGTTACCGGTACGAACAATCCGACTCTTACGATGCTGGTGGGGACGAGCTCATTGTTGCCTCGGACGCGCCGACTCCTCGCGTCTGCGTCTCATTTCGACATGATGTCATGGAGGAGAAAGCCGCTGGTGCTCGCGCACCAATCAGCCGTCGAAGCTCCGTCGTCGCCGGCTCCGTGGCTTGCAACGGACGCGGACGTCGGCATCACGCGCGTGTCGGCGTCTGCTGCTAAGAGCGAGCACTGCAGCTACGAAATCTCGCTGCGGTTCCCTCAGACGCGTACACTGTGGCTCATCCAGCGCTCGTACACCGACTTCCAGCGCTTCCACGCGGCGATCGAGAGTATCTTCCACCAGGTGCTTCACGCTCGTCGCATTCAACTTCCAAAGCCGTCACGTCTCGGATGGGACGCGTTCCGGGCGCAATCTGCACGCACTGCAGCGGCGGATAAACTACGCAAGCAGTTGAATAGTTATCTGCATAAATTACTGGAGATCGAGAGCGTTCACGCTTCCGACGCGTTCCGCGACTTCGTGACGCCTCGACCCGAGTCGGACGATAGCGAAGTGGTACAGGAAGACTGCGCCGATAAAGTGGAAGGAAGCTCAAGTTTCCGACGTCTCGGTAGCTCAAGCACTAGCACGACAAGCACTAGCACAACCGTCAGCTCCCGCGACAGCGTCGACGGTCTTCTACTCGATATGCCGGCACCGTTTCCGTGGCGTGTGCCGCCGCCAGTTGTTGCACCTTCAACCTGTGACGAACTGGTGCATTTCGGTGGCACTATCGCCTTAACAGCACTCGGTGGACTATCTGTCGGCTTGACAAAGCGTAGTGCACTCTCCGGGTCACAGAAAGCGGCCGCGGTGGCCGCTGGAGTGGCCGGCGTGGCTTTGACCGGCCCGTTGTCGGCGGTGTTCGCATTAAGTGCTCTAGGTGGCGGTGTAGGCAAATATCAACTTAACAAAGCATCGTATCTCAGTGTCTGTAAGCCGTCGCACGGTGACGACGATACAGGGATCGCGTTTGTTGTGGAGAACGCAGAGCAGTTTTCAGGCCCACGGCGTGCAGCGAGATTCGGAGATGCCATCCACTTATACTGCCGGAAAGTGCGTAGATCGGTTCGAATTATTGCGGCGCCTGACTCGAAACGAGGGCACGCAATGGTATCTGGAGGTGACGCACACAAGACGACGTTGAGACTAGTGTCACCGTACGGACACACGGGGCCACTACGTTGCGGTAGCCAGGTGTTCATGCAGCTTGTGGACGGCGAATGGGCTGGTCAACTCCTTGGAATGCACGGTGAGTTTATCACCGCTACGAAATACTCACCGACAGTGTTTCAATTGGGGACAATAAGCAGCGAACACGTAGCAGTTGACTGTCCGGAGACAGCGACGAAGACTGAGCAACAGGAGCGACTGTCCGGTCCTTTTACGGTACCGAGAAGCGCGATCCCATTCAAGCTACGTGTCATGGTGTACAACGTCTGGTTATTGCCTGGCTTCGTGTCGTCTTTCAACGAAAAAGTGTCTCCGTGGGCCTCACAGCGCGCTTCCGCCATCCCACGCTGTCTCGCGTCATTAAACGTGGACGTGGTAGTATTCTGTGAAGCCTTTTGTAGCTCTGCGCGCGAGAAACTGGTGTCTGGGATGAAGTCACAAGGCTTTATCTACGAGACGAAGATCGTGGGCGATGTATCACTTTTAAGCTCCAAGAAGGCCATCGACGGAGGATGCTTCGCTATGAGTAAATACCCTCTTTCAAATTGTGAAGAAGTGACGTTCGGCAACGTCGCGTCCGGTGAGGATCGATATGCGGATAAAGGGGTTATCTACTTTCAAGTTCGCGTGCCTGTGAAAAGCTACTCAGGCTCTGATACAACGCAGACGGTGCATATTGTGGGGACCCACTTACAGGCTTGGGAAACGTCGCTTGCTGTTGCTACAAGGAAGGGCCAAATGACTTTGATGCGCAATTTTGTCAACTCTCTGCGTCTTCCGAAGCACGAACCAGTCATTTATGCGGGAGATATGAATGTCAACAAACACGCAGATGGCGCACAGATACCCGAGGGAGAGTATACCGGTATGTTGGATCTGCTTGGAGTTGATGAACCGCAATTACAAGAAAAGTCGCCCATTTACAGCTTCGATCCACATTCAAACGATCTAGCTGTGGATGGTCCGAGTTCTGGAGGTATTGCGGAGCGACTGGACTACGTTATGGTAGACCGCAGTCATCGCCTACCTGTTTCTGCGTCAACTGAGATCGTGCAACTTAAGGCGACGAAAAACTGGGCCCCATCTCGTGGTGCTATTGACGAAATCCTTGTGGATTTATCGGATCACTACCCAGTTGTCGGTGACTTCCACTTCTAGCGGCCTGGAAATATTGATGCAAAATAATTTATTTTCCTAAAACCTGTGCTTAAGCAATCCTTAAAACCTAGACTTAAGAAAAAAACAACATGAAATTGAAGTAGGTTCTAAATATTTGAGAACTGCGCTATTCTTAAAACCACAACGCATTTGTATCGTCGGCGGAATTCAAGCTCGACGTACGTGTTGACATGTGAGTTGACTACACGCCCAGTGCCAACCAGTATTGTGAGGATGTTTCGGTTGCTGCTGATTTTTCGAGCGCACTGTGCAATTGGAGGATGCAAACGCCACCGAGCGGCACCAACACAAGTACCACATTGATTGTTAAGGTCACTTCAGTCGTCGTTGGCTGCGGGCAGGAAAGTTTTCCTGTGCACCGGATGGAACGCAACTTGATGGAGCTCAAACGACACGTGCGAGCTCAGTTTTTCGAACCAGCAGATGCTCGTAAACTGGATGCTATCGACATTGGCTCGCTGATGAGTCGTTGCAAGAAGTACAAGCTCTAACAAGCAATTTTTGTCCTAATTAATGCTATTTAAATACATGTAGCGGTCAAGTTTCAGCTTCTTACGAAAACTGTTGAGTCTTTCCAAGGTTGCCCTTTACTTTTCGCGCGACAAACAAATTAGAGGTGATTAAAATTATCAACTCCTGTTTCTTTTGTGGCCTTACATGTTTATCGTCTAAGTATTTAAAAATGTACCCAATTCTGGAAACTAAAGAATGAAAAAAGGATACCTGATTGCAGTAAGTTACACTGCTGTGCTTATTGAGCATCCGAGATCCTCTTATTTCTAAGCTCCATCGTAGCTCTTGAAACTCGGTTAGGCTCGGTATCTTCTGGACGACTTTTTATCAGCTTTCCAAAAGCTGATAATATTTTGCCAAATACTTATGTTAATCTAAAAAAAAACATCTGATTGGCTGGCTATTTATACCGCGTTTCATAATCCTTTCTGCCACGTAGGCGTCATCAAGGCGACGGGCATGAAGTTCTGGTTGTACTCGAGCGCCAGCTTGGCGGCCTGCATGGGGCTGCTGTGGTACACATACCTGACGCGGCAGCAGTTCTACCCATCCATTATCTACCTCGTGACCTCTAAGGTCAGCGTGCTGGTGCTGGGCAACGCTGGCCTCGTACTTACGACACTTTTCGGCCGGTTGCTCAAGGCCTTTTTCCTGGGAACGCTTCGTGATGCGGAAGTTGAGGTAGTGGGCTCTTATATTTTATATCGACATGTGGATAGATCCCCTAATGTGGTACTGCTAGCTGCTGCACGAGAATGTTCGCTACGCCGTGACGGAGACGTGCTTGGCGCTTACGATTTTCCGCGAGGAGATCTCGTTCCACGTCATGGTATTATTCACTGCGCTCGTGTTTCTCAAAATTTTCCATTGGCTATCACAGTCCAGGATCGAATTTGTAAGTGACGGACTGTCATACTTTATTTTTAATTTTTTTTTTAACGAGAGCAAATTGATGTTGCAACAGATCGAGCAAACAGACGTGATTTCCAGACTCACCCACGTGCGACTTATAGGACTCATGGCTATGCTCACAGCTGTGGATATCGGCTTTGTGGTGTGGTGCTCGCTGAAGGTGATGGAGATCGGACCTTCAGTCTTTATCCTTTTCGGCTTTGAGGTGAGAATATATGAAATTTTAAGTGATATTTTTAAACTGACAGTATTTTTTTCTTAGTTTTTGATCCTCCTGGTGACTATAGTGGCAACATTCCTACGCTACATTCTATACGTTGTGGACTCTCGCATGGACGGCGCCTGGACCAGCAAGTTCACGTACTTATTCTACTTGGAACTTGTGTCCGAAGTCACCAAACTTGTCGTCTACTTGGTACGCATTGAATCATTTTTCCAAACTTATTTTTTACTAATATTTTTTTTATTTTTCACAGGTCTTTTTCATGTTGATTTTCACATACTACGGTATGCCGCTGCATATTGTGCGTGATCTGTGGATCTCTATCAAGAACCTACAGCGTCGTATCGCGTCGTACTTCCGCTACAGGAAGATCACAGCGCATCTGAATGAACGATTCCCGAATCCGACCGAGGAGGAGCTTCAGGAAACGGACAGGACGTGTATTATCTGTCGCGAAGAAATGACCCCCGATGCCTGCAAGAAGTTGCCGTGCACACACATCTTCCACGTCGACTGTCTGAAGATGTGGGTCCAGCGCCAGCAGACGTGTCCTACGTGTCGTTCTTCCATCCCAACGGGACCACATCGTCCTACCGTTCCAGCGGCTCGTGTGCCTAGACCCGCCGAGAACAACGCTGCCCAACCGGCAGCAGCGCCGGCACAGGCACCGGCACCGGCCGCTCCTCGTTTCCGGTTCGGTGTAGCAATTGGACGTGAGAACGTTCCGGCTACACAACCCGGTGCCGGTACTGCTCCAGCACACGCGACGCCTCCGACTACAGCCGGGATGCCGGCTGCGCCCGGTCAGGCGTTTCCTCCGGGCTACCCGAATCCGTACATGTCGCCGATGATGTTTGCTCCTGGTATGGGCGCACCGTTTGGCTTCGGTATGCCTGGTGCGTACGGCATGATGCCTCCTTTCGGTATGCCTCCGGTGGTCCAGCAGCAAGGGATGCAGCAGCCAGCTATGGACCCGGACAGCATTCAACGCCAAATCGATCTCCTGCATGCTCAGCTGGCGGTACTGCAAGCATCTGCGGCACAGTTTGGCGGGCCCCAGCAGCCCCAGACTGTACCGCAGCCTCCTATTTCAGCACCTACAATGCCGGCACAGGCACAGACCAGCGCCCCGGCAGCCCCTCTCTCTGCCCCGGCAACGGCCGCGTCTGTATCGGAAGAGGATCTAGAAGACAAGCGTCCGATCCCGTCGACACAGGACACTGCTGCTGCTACTGAGCCCACGCCTGTTGAGTCAACCATTCCACCGGCACCGCCAACTGAGACGGAGCGCCGTCGGGAGGAATTACGTCAGCGTTACGCCCGCATTTACGGTAGCTCGTCGAGTTCGTCTGTGGCGGACAATGAAGAGAAGAGGAACGATTGAGGCTGGAAATAAATATAACATGTGTGGCATCTTACACAAGACGTTGTATCCGCAACTGGCGACACCATGAGCCTGCCACTAGTAACGGAGTTCACCGAAGAGTGCTTTAATATTTCGTGCAAGGGCAGGCATTTTCGAAGTCAACAATACCGGTACCTGGGATAATCCTGCTCCTCTGTCCGAAAATAAAAGCGGTAAGAGCAGTTTTACCGCGTTGAACTAGCAGCTGATTGGTCTTAATTACTTTTCGGACTAACAGTAAATTTTCTGGTCAAACTCGCCACCCATTGTATAAGCGTACTTAGGCGGAATAAAACGGTATTATTTAGTAAATTTATGTGGGAACCGCTAAATTTTTCGGACACGGTATGTCCGCTTATATTTCCGGGCGGAAGTAAATGAAACAATTTGTGTCTACTTGTAAGCACAACAAAAAGTAGTGTTAAAGCGGTATGATAAGCCCAGGGCTAGCACAGTAATCCTAAAGGGGGTTTCAAATATGGAGGGGGCTCTATTACAGCTTTAATGCACCGACAGCCTGTATTGAGACAGGTTTTATAGCTATAAATAGCCTTCAATAAGAAATCTGTACGCGAAGTCGATTTCGATTTCATCGATATCGATGTCGCTGTTTTCGTCAGCAAGGATAAACTGGGACACATCGTCCGCGATCTCTTGGGATTCGTCACCAGCAAGGAGGCGGCGAAACTCAGGGCCGTAGAGCTCATGACGAGCAAGAGCAATGTAACGGGGTACGTAGCCCTAAGTGTACCCTGGTTACATGAAGTGTGACACTTCACACTTCAGGAGTATGACACGTCATACTCCGGGATATTTGGTACAAGGTACCAAGGTCGTTCAAAGCCAACCATTGGTTAAATGACATTGCATTTCTATAGGTAACTTATAGTTTGTATTAAACCCAAACTTAACCTACCTATAAATATACTCAGTTTACAATCTACCTTATTTAGGTCACTTCGCTCTCTTTAATTAAAGAGGGGACCTGTGAACTGCCGTTCACTGAGAGTTTGTATACTCTCGGAAGATAACTTCCTCTAGCGCAAGGTGCTGTGTGACCCCGTCACACTTGGTAGCACTCGTAGTCAGTCCACGCCACCGCGGGTAGACTACCTGAACCTCTCCGAAGCTCGTTGCCACGGATAGGAGCGACTTCTCCCATATGAACGACTCTCAGTTCGAGTCGGTTCGGAAGATGGCAGGCATCTTCGGGATGGAGGCCCTGCAGAGCCTGGTGGTATTAACACCGGCTGAGCAGCTCGAGCGCGTCAATGCATTCGACGCGTACGAGCAGGGCCTCATCGCGCATGTGCGGGAGAACCTGCAGGCTCCGGCGGCGGAAGCAAATCCGCCTCACCCGAAGCCAATACGGCTGAAGGTTAAGCCGTATGAAGGGAAGGAAGGCGAGAACCTTCACTTCTGGGTCCGAGAAGTAGAGCTCGCGATGGACGCGGCTCTGATCTCGACCGAGCAACTGCGTGTTGCTTTTGCACTCTCCAACCTTAGCGGTCGTGCTAAGAGTTGGGTGTACACTCGGGAAGCAACATCCCCTGGATGTTTCACATCCTGGGCTCAGCTGTGCGAACAGCTCCGAGCCGCGTTCCTCCCGGCGAACTACGAGTACCGCCAGCGTTACTGCGCTTCCTCGCGAGTAAACAAGGAAGGCGCGAGCTGCACGAGTATGTGCAAGAGATACAGGAGCTCACGGCGTACCTAGTGGGAAACCCACTTAACGAACACATCAAGATGACTGTGTTCATGGACGGCCTTCGAGTGGGCCCCGCACGCACTCAGTTGTTCCGGGTGCAGTCAAGCACCCTTGAAGAGGCGATTCAAGTGGCTCTTCAAGAAGAGTACAGCCATCGCCAGGCGCGTACGCCGGCCTCAGCGTGGCCTGGGAGTTCCTTGTCGGCTCCCGGTCGAACAAGCCCCAGCGGACCAGTTCCCATGGAACTCGGGTCCGCCGAACAGCGTGACATCCGCTGCTTCGGCTGTGGGAAGATGGGCCACTTTAAGCGCGACTGCCCTGCGGAAAGACTCCACAGACGGTCCTTCCCCAAGCCCGTCCTCAAGGGTCGCTGGCAGAAGCGTGGATCCCGGGGACAGGGGAACGCAGGGAACAAGTAGGGGCGGGGCGCCCTACTAAGGAAGAACTAAGTCTTCGTGATGGGTGCGCGGGTGGCGCGTACCACGGGGACTTAGCCCCTGAGAGTCTTCGCACTCTCGAATCGGCGAAGAGCAGCGGCGGGTTGCTCGTAGTACACGGATGTGTACGGGGATACGATCATCCCTTCAGAATCTTGATTGACTCTGGGGCGTCGAAGAATTTCGCACGCCTCCAGACGGTTGCTCGTAGCAGCAACAAGTTGTCCGATGCTTTGAGAGAAAGCAAGGGCAACGGGACGGTGTCAGTGCGACTGGCCGACGGGAAGGTCGTCACTGTCCCCAACGTCCAAGTGGATTTGGCTGTCAAGTTTGAAGACTTTGACAGCCTCGAACAGTTCACTGTTCTCGATATGGATCCATATGATAGGATCCTGGGCATGCCCTGGCTTGAGAAGCACGAGCCCTGGATCGACTGGCGAGGCAAGGCAATCGGTGCCAGCCGCCCTGCGCAGTCCGACAGAGCATTGGTGAGTCATGTTCCCACCTCTGTCAGGACCCGGGGCGCCCGCGAGGGCTGCCAGGGTACCAAAGCATCCGGCAGATGCTTGGGAGTCGTCGACGTATATGACGACTCCAAGGATGTTTTGATGGTGGCCGCGCCCAGAAGAGGCGCCGGCCAAGTGGGTAACTTAGGTCCACAGGCGGGTAACTTAGTTCCGCAGACAGCTGCAGCTGTCATGAACACTGAGAACAGCGTGTTCAGAGTGGGTAACAGAGCTCCACTCACGGTCGCCCAGACCTTAACTGAAGAGGAAGGCGTTGAACACGCTTCCTGTGTGGGTAACACAGTGCCACACGCGGTCGCCCAGACCTTAACTGAAGCAAAAGGCGTTGAACACGCTTCCTGTGTGGGGACAACAGTATCACACGAGGCCACGAGTGCCTCGGATGTCGTAGCAACGACATCCCTAGACGTGGGCAGCAAAGCTCCCCGTCACAGACGCCGTCGACAAAGACGCCGCCGCCGCCTCAAGTCGGATCCGAACTTCGTTCCGATCGACGTCGCTTCAAGCGACTCGGAGTCCAGGGCCCGGGCTCCTCCGACAAGGCCGGTGGAAGAGTGTTATCACATCTTCGATGGCGAGACGGGTTTACCCGTCAAGGCATCTGGCGTCCACTTGCCAGAGGTTGCAGAGATACTGCACCTCGAGGAAATGACGGCTGAGTCTCCCCTGACCAACCTCAAGGCTGGAGAGATTGCTGAGATGGTACTCATGAGACCTGAGACCACTCAGGAGGAGCTGAACTCCTCCTCTGTCTTGGACGAGAACGTCCTGGAAGACATGAGCAAACTGCGTCAGGCGCGCTTGGGTTCTGAGATTCTCAAGAACCCCAAGGATCCGGTGTATCCTTTGGTGACGGAGTACGCGGACGTGGTGAACAAACACCCACCGACCCAACTCCCACCGGATCGAGGCGTACGGCACGAGATTGATCTCGTGCCCGGCACAAAGTATTGTGTCACGAGACAATGGCCTCTCCCGCGCGAACGGTGCGAGGTCATTGATGCCTTCTTCGCCGCGAAAGCGAAGGCAGGCATGGTGCGGGAGTCGAAATCCCCGCACTCGACGCCGACTTTCTGCGTTCGTAAGCCGAACGGAAAGTGGCGTCTGGTTCACGCTTATAACAAGCTGAACAACCCAACGGTGCCGGCCCAAACACCGATCCCACGAAAGGATGTGTTGTTGAACAACATGGCCGGGAGCGTACTGTACAGTGCGCTGGATTTGGTAGACGGATACTACCAAATCCTGATGCGAGAGAGCGACATCCCGCTCACCGCGGTAAGCACTCCAAGCGGCATGCTTTGGGAGTGGCTCGTCATGCCGCAGGGCTTGTCTAACGCCCCGGCGACGTTCAATCGCCTGGTGACGCAATTGTTCCGCCCTTTGCGTACCTTCGTACAGACGTACTTCGACGACATTTTCGTCCATAGCCGTGCCGAGGGAGGCAAGACGGCCATGGAGGTGCATCTAGGACACCTCCGTCGAGTGTTGGACGTGATGCGAGCGAACAAGCTCTACGCCAACATCGACAAGTGCGTTTTCGCGTCACCAGAGATCAAAGTTCTCGGTTGCTTCGTAAGCAACGTGGGCGTTCGGGCTGACCCAGACAAGGTCAAGGCTATAGCATCATGGCCGACGCCCGCGATCCCAGAAGGATCTTCGAAAGTGGTTGGGCTTGGCCAACTACCTTCACAAGTACAGTGCTGGGTACGCGGGCTTCGCTAAGCCCTTGTCGAGCCTCCTTCAGAAGGACGTCGACTGGCGCTGAGAGCAAGAGCACCAGGATGATTTTGACAGCATCAAGGCCAGTCTCCAAGAGGCCCCTGTCCTGGCCCTGCCGGACGAGACGAAGCCGTTTAGCGTCGTCTGCGATGCCTCCGATTACGCCATCGGGTGTGCATTGCTGCAGGACGACACGGCTGGACAGGAACGAGTCATCTCGTTCCAGTCCCGGCAGCTCAAAGCCACCGAGCGGAACTACCCTGTCCATGACAAGGAGCTCCTGGCAATGAAATATGCCCTTGTGAAGTTCCGTGTTCACCTTCTGGGCTCTAGGCCCTTTGTGATCTACACAGACCACGCGTCCTTGAGGACGGCGACTAACTCGCCTCACCTCTCCCAAAGGATGGCGAGGTGGCTGTCCTTCTTCGCGGAATACAACTTCCGCGTCGAATACAAGCCGGGCAAGCTCAACGTGCTTGCGGACGCCCTCTCTCGGCGTCCCGACTATGAGTTGGCCCACATCACGCGGGTGACAACAGATCTATATGATCGGATACGCATGGCGTATCGGGACGATGAGGCTGTCGCGCCTATCGTCAAGTTCCATAAGGCCGGAACGAGC